CTTTTGGCCATAGTGTGATAGATGCAACCCTACCTTTACTTCTAGCATTAGTTACTTTCATTTCTCTTAGCATGCCTATAAACATACCAATATACAACTGGAAATTGATCACATGTAATTAGAAAGCAACATTGGGACTTCATCACTGTGTCACTTGCATTCTTTACAGGAAACAGTTTATTTCATCTGTGGCTCTAGACTGCTCAGAGTAAACCATGGAACACCATTTGTGTATATAGAGGTACTGTTATTCTCTCTGCCACACATACTAATGCAGTCCAATGTTACTTGATCTGGCCAACATTGGATGACCTTCCTGTGGAGCAATGACTTAAATGTTGCATAGGCAAAATTGGCAGATATACTCCGTATTAAGATTGTTGATACTAAATCTGAGGCTGGAGACTACTACATTCATTCTGTGGACAACATTTCGTGGACAAAGGCGTGGTCTCACTTGGAGGGCTCAAAGATTGAGAGGTCCACTAGGACTTCATCCTCTCTTTCTTTTATCTTTAAAGTTACATACCAAGCTCTGAGAGAGAGCTGGAATGACAACTAAACCTTTTGGTGCAAGCAGTTCACAGTACTACCCAAAACCAGTGGCAGCATTCACCACTTGCTGATCTGATGGCCATTTCCAGTAACTTTATATATTTACTACTTGGTAAAATATGGTCATGTCCTTTGTCAGTATCATACCAGTCCACAACAAAAGCCAAAAGTTTGCTCTTCCAAACCTGGATGATGTCTAGGTAGGATCATCAGCACTTACTGTGGTGTGTATGCCATGGGTGGACCTTGATAATCTAGCCACTCACTGGAAACCTGTTTGGTTGTATTACAATGCTGTGATACATTAGTCATGGGTTAACCCTTGGTTCAGATATATTCTGATGAGGTGAAAATGCCTGAGTAGGTCATTCCATATTAGGGGTAGCCACTACAGCTTTCATTGTGGACTTTCTTCTCTCTGTTACCATGTCATATAGGGTTGCCTCTCTGTTAGTTGAGGATATCCCTTACACCCTTTTGTTGCCTCATGACTTCATTGTGAAGACCTTTAGTGAATTTGTTCATGAGCATATCCTCCTAATATTTGATATCATTGATGGGTAAGTATTCCCATGCAATCAACATAGATTATCTGCTTAGGCAACCAGTTTCTTAGTGCCAATTCTCTTTTAAGCCTTGAACTCAGCCCGTTTGGATCATCCAATTCACCACTGGGTTGAATTGGGACACAGATTGTAGGTGATTGTTTCACAGTTCCCTTGCTGCTCCTCATACAGATGTTCAATGAAAACATAGATTGGACTTTTCAAGTGATTATGTTCCTGAACACTTTAAGAATTTGAAGATATAGGTTCAAAGTAATAGTCATTCTAAGGGACCCCAATACTTGAACAAGTAATCAGTCCCTGGTCTGGCAGCAGGGCAAAGAGCTGTATGCTGAAATTCATTGTATAGCCCTGTATGACTTAGAGTGTTATCACATGTCATGATTGGTATCACAGGGTACTTCTAGGCTTGCAGAGGCTCATTTCAGAATTTGTCATGGTTCTTACCTGTGGGTGCCCGCTACCTCTCCTGCTGGAGAAACAGCCTTGGCTGCCTGAAGTCATTCATCAGTGCCACATCCAGTCCTTTTTTAGCTGGTCATCAGTGGTTTTGGACCAGAGCTGGGGCTGTTATACTCTGGCTGGAGATGGCCTGGTAGTTTTGTAGAAACCTGCTGAGTGCACTTGACTCAATGGGCACCAGCTCATGTCTACTTCTCTCAGTCGTTGCTTCCCTTGTGCCATGATCGATTCTCTGAGGTAAGGTTGTATCTACTTGTCTGAATGTTCCAGTCATTAGCAGGTTGTCTTGAATCTATAGTTGTAAGACGATTGATGTCATAGACTTTTGCAGCAAGGGCAAAAGTCTTATAACCAGCAAGCACTTTTCTTAGACTTAAAATCTCTCTCATAGTCTCTTTGGCTGCAAACTGTCCCTCTGGTGTTCAGAATAAGCCATTTTTTCCAGTGACTGATCACAATGAATTCTATGGTTATGACACACAATTTTTTCTTCATATCTATTTTGTGATATTCTTAGGTAAACTTATTTTCATGCAAGTATGAAATAGGTACTGTGTTTGCTTTGTATTGAGTTATGGTTTCAGTAGGCTTACTACTGCTTGATGGAATTCTTATAACAAATTTTAATGTTTTATACTGTTGAGGATTAAAAGATACATAGCTAAGTGTTGCCATATTACTACAAATTTTTTATCATTACATACATCATTGGGTGGCTTGAATTTTAGCCTATTTTTTCTGATGTTTCTCCATTGTTGGGCTGTTATCAACCTCTTTTGTCTCCATTGTTCATAAATGTATTTAGAGCTTGGGATTTTGATTTAGTGTTCTGGTTCTTAACTTCTGCTTTGTACACTGATACTTATGTGTTAGAATATGTTCAGAAATACTGTAAATACCAAATGTACTTTATTTTCTCATCAGGTTCTGTGCCTGTATCCTGTTTGCCTAAGACATTTAATGTGAGAAAAGGTAACGATTGTTTCTCACTTATTGTTTTACCCACCATTACCCAAATGGTTATTTGAAGGATAGTTTTTTTATATATAATCAGTGTTTTTTTTTTGTTATCTTACTTGTACCCAATCATTCAGGAGGTCTTGGAATGTGTTGTTTGTACCTTATTATAAGTCAGACACATCTGTTAAATAAACTAATTCACCATCAAAGTTGATTTATGTTGTTTACTGTGTTATACCTGATATCATTATCACTGAAATCAATTTGAACCTCTGATATGCTCTTTAGCATCCATGTTGAAAATTTTGCAGGCTGGCATATGGATGAATCAAAATGCATTTTTAAACTTTTAATTATGTCACATCACTATCTCTTCAGTTTTTTATTTCATGTGACCCCTGTGGTGATTCTTGAAGCCATATTGAATCCTTAACAGTTAAGATCACGTACATTCCTTGAAAAAATAAAGAATTTTCAGAGTCTCTCTATTGTAACCTTAGACTCAATGTTTAAGTGGATTCCTCCAGTCAACGTGCCAAGGTTACTATTTACTTTTACACTTATTCTCGACATTTTTACACTTTATGTGCTGGTACTCCATTAGAAAGTGATGCCCTCTGGAGGTGGATAGAAGATGCCATTTAACAATGCCTCAGTGGATAACTTTTCTCACCTCAGCATGCACATCCTTGCACAGTGTTTGAAGCCATTTGAGATGTGATGTCTGTTTTCCAATGTATGTCTCATTAGTTTCAATCAGGATGGAGCACACCATACTGCTTAATTTTTACCTTGTTCATGCTTACTTATTGCTCCCATTGCAGTGACTCTAAGCTTTTGAACCCATTTTCAGGCTCACCTGGCTCTTTATGATTCCCTTTTGAGTGCTTACTGAATAGGCTAGTTACATAACTTTTTTGGCATTTTCAGATTCACTTGATGGGTATCTTAACCTCAGAAGTGTATCCAATCTCTACATTATTATAGATCCTATCCACTGAGAATGATTTACTGACAGATATAGGAAAATGTTTTGTTTCCTGCACCTGGCTACTTGTTTAATAACCATTTCAGACCACACCTAAGAATGTGCATGATAGACCACTTGTATACATTTTGCACATTTATTAACCCCCAAACCACTCAATTTATTTTATTTTTAAATGAAAGGTAGCAAAGGAATATTTTGCTGAGAAGAATACTTTCTGAGATTTTGTATTGTTTGGCCAGTCTCTTTAGAGCTGGTTCATCCCACTTAATTAGTTCAGATGAATCTAATCAAGTGGTTGTTTTATTTCTGGATTCTGCTCAATATCTCCTTGATCACAATACTATAGGTTATTATAGTCTAGAAATGTTACCTTTCCTGACCTAGTACTCAGCATCTGGTGATCTGTGTACATGTTGTTATGACTCTCCAGTTTCCTTCTCCATCTCAGTGTGTGTGTGTATTAATCACAACACTAAATGTTGTTGTATTGTATACATGTTACCTTTCTTCTCCTAATGCTCAGCATCTGAGTATATCTGTTTATATTTTATTATGATACTCTCCAGTTTCCTCCTCCATTACAGAGTGTGTGTATTTTGGCTTAAAGTGATTCAGAGGTAAATCTACCTAATCTTATTTTAATGTACTTAGGATAAAAATTAATGTAAAAGAGACCCTTAACTTTAAAATACATTCTCATCTTCCTTCCAACAATCAGGAGTAATATATTTTAAGGAATACAAACAGAGAAATCTGGTTGTGGTTGGAAAGAAGGGTTCATGCAAATTCCCTAATGTTTGAGCTGTATGTTGTGTAGGAGGTAGGAAACTGGAAAACTTTGGGTCAAGTGGTTAAAGTAATGCTCTTCATCAAGGTCATTAAAACCAAAAGTCATGTGGCTGTCGACAGATTGAGAATGACTCAGTATGAAAAGGCGTACAGTACTTCAAAGGAAAATATTAGTTTTAAAATTTTTCCTGCTTTCTTTCATAGCAGAAAATTATAATGTTCCACTTTGAATATACAACTTGGACAGGTAGTAGAAACTTGTACTACAGCCCCCCGTGGCACAGCGATATGTCTGCAGACTTACAATGCTAGAAACTGGGTTTTGATACCTGTGGTGGGCAGAGCATAGATAGCCCATTGTGTAGTTTTGTTGTTAACTACAAACGACAAGTTGTTCTACATATGAATAAAGACATTATATTTGTCTACATGAATTTCTTGTTTGTCCTTTGCTCCTCATGTTTGAGATTATTCTATGCACAACATTTTCATAACCTGCATTTTGCTGATAATTGATACTTTCACTTATGGATATTAGTGTACCTGTATACCACAAAGGAAAATATACAAGATGTTCATTCTACTAAATGTATTATGTGGATTTTGATTATTATTTATTGAAGCATAAGGTATATTCAATTTTTTTATAGAAAAATCTACATTATTTATACTTCTAGCAACAGGAGAAGCTGATTCTTTGGAAGAAAGATTTTCATGTACAATTTTAAAGTTTGGTGTAGCAAAAGAGGGACAAGAAAAGAACGATGATGTAGCAATAGAGAAAATGGAGGTAATTTTTAGATTAATACTTTTACACTATTCTTATTAAGGTGATTATGTAGCTGTAATGATTTTGAACTTCAATGTTATGTTAATGTTAACATTCCACATATGCTTCAATGTTTTTATTGTAGTGTTAATGTTTGCTGTCTGCAGATTTTACATTATTCTTTTTGTATAATTAATGTTAGCCATCCATACATGTTACACTGTTCTTATTGTATCATTAGTATTAGCAAGGTTTAATTGTGTAATTCAAGTTAGTAATTTGATTCTTTTTTTTTACACAAAGCTGTCCAACATAATCAATAACTTTTACCTCAATCTGAGAGTGTCTAAATACAACTGTAAAGAAATAAAATTAAATGAAAAGTCTATTAGCTTTGGGTGTAAAAATATATAATGTATTATTGTGAGAAAATATTTTTATGTATTATATGTTGCAGTAAATAAAACTGTGTTTTGTGATATTCAAACTTTCTGCCAGAGTCCCTACTCTTTATTCAAATTCCTCGAGTTGGTGAGCTTTGTGCTCATGACTGCATATCTTAGTATTTCAACAAATACTATGTGTAATTTGTATTGTGTCACACCTGACTTACCCATTACATTGAGAAGAGTGAGACATAAATCAGTTCTATTGAGGTTGAGAACAGTGACCATGGTTTAGAATGGAAAATTTGAGGTAATTTGTCTTTAATAGACTGTAGTGATAAAAATAATTAGGTTGTGTTTTGAGAATGTATATTCCATACTTTATTGGGCCTTTCCTTGAGAACACATTATCTCTTGTTGATTTATTATTAACTTTGAGGGCTGGTGTTAATTTTTAATCATCATTTGGGTCGGGAAGATGCTGGTCCAGATTAAAGGCCTGGAGGTTAAGACTTCCTGTGGGTCTACTCACAGTAGTTTATAATACAACAAGTAAATAAAGTGGTCATTCAGACTTTAGATCTACTCAGCTATCATCAGATGAATAGTATTTCATGAAATGACTAATTATTAACAACAAATAACTTGATAAATTTTTACAGAAGACAAATTAGACAATTTTATTTCATGTTTTCATCACAGTCAGGTGTGGATACAGAATTCTTTGAAGGGTGGGGTCCAGCCTGTAAAAGGGCAAGCCTATAAGAACAATAATATATTTGTGATTTACCAATTTGAAATGGACGCAGGAGTGTTTCAGAGGAAATTGGCTGGTTCAATCAATAGACAACGTTGAAAACATAGGTTTTCAAGACATACTTGTTTTAAATTTCCACTTATTATTCTACGAAATACTGTAATTTTTTAGGATTGTGTTGGTGATCTTAGGTATAAGATGTTCATAAATCTTTGAAGTAACATAATTTGTATTTATTAGGGCAGTTTGATGTATGCATAAGGATAATTTTGAAAAAATGTTCATCAGTATTTTCGTATTTATCATATACAAAGTACACATAAGTGCATATAATAACCTTAGGAAATGCACAAAATAGTTTGCATAGAAACACAAAGTTTTTAATACTAGATGTATATTTTATTTCACAAAATATCACATACAATTAGACCAACAGTGATAATAATTCATGTTCTGCATCATTTTGGTCTGAATAAATACCTGAAGTAAAACAGAATACAGACATTGAAACAATAAAATATTTTACAGCATTTTCCATTAAATGAGAGGATTGTCTTAAGAACAATTGAGTCAAGCTACTTCAAACTCATTTTTTTTCAATATTTTTGGTAAAATTATGCGAAAGACAAAGTATTTTACATGTGTTTTCTTAACTCTGTGTGTACAGGCTCAGTCACTTTTATCAACATTGTAACCACCACAAAAAGAAAAGAAAAGAAATAAATATAAATTACCCCTTGTTTCTAGAACAGCTGCAGATTATAACAGAAAATTACAATTACTTATAATAATGTGGCCTCAAAAATATTTTTATTCAATTTAGAACATGGAATATTTCCACACACGCATAAAATAGAGTACCCTAAAACTTATATAGTTTATCTAGCTTTCTAACTAATATAGAAATGGCTTAAAATTATTCCCATATTTGGTGAAGCAGAGCCCCAACAGCGAGATTTGAAAAAAATGCTCAGATGTCCAAATTATTATTCCACTGTCCCAGACCTTTAGATCCTATAGCTTTTGGCTCAGTAATATCTTCACCTTTTATTAGTTACAAATAATACAAAAGCAAGTGTCAGAGAATTTACAACATGTTTTGAAAGCAGGATGTTCAGTGGAAGGTATGGCATTTGATCAGTACTTTATTGCTCATATCTCCATAAAGCAAAAGCTTTATTGGTAGCAAATTCTTGCTAGAAACTGATAGTTTAGCTCGAGGATATATATGACATAAGTGCAAAGTTCTACGGAAAGTTACAATGACATAGAAGATAGCAGAAGATGTTGAAATAAATAGCCTGGAATGGAGAAGTATCATGCAATCTACAGAAAGAGAAATTTAGCATTTATATAATTTAAAGCTTTTATTTTATTAAAATTTGATCTATAAATTGTGTTTAATGCCAACTTTATTGATATACATTGATAGTAAAGTAGTTTAATTAAGTTTAAAAGGTTGTGACATACATACTTTGACCTATTTGTAGTGAAAGGGTCAATATTATAAGTATAAGAACAAGTCATTTACTTCTAGCAGGTAAACCTGTCACATTACACAGTGAACTTTAGTATACTAATGCATTACATACATGGATATAGCCTTGGAAGGGGTCAGAGGTAGTACTCGTGCTCATGGTACAAGCCATGACCCTCATGTAATAATAAACATAGTATTATCCCATACTACAATATCAACAGCCATAAAAGAAGGAGGAAGAGGTTGGAAACATACCTGATTGTCCCTGGTCCATGCAAGAATAGACCTAAATACCAATAAAGAATTCAAACAAGAATGTGAAATTCACAATGGACAAAGAGTGAAAAGAGACAGATATTAGGTTAATGAACAAATGAAAGTTTTTTATGGACAGGCACTTTCAGAATAGACAAATGTTAGATTAAAGCTACTTAGGATGAACAAATGTAATTTAATGTTACAATTTGAAGTTATTCTTGAAAGAAGAAAGGTAATTTAGTTATATTTTGATTTTTTTTCGTAGTTACGAAGTTGGTCAAATTGATCAAACTTGTATAGAGTTAGGGTAGAGAAAATAACATAAAATATAAAGTTTTACTAAAAACAAATGTTTGAAATGTATTTAGGAGGTTTTAGAGATGAAGAAAAGTATTTTTAATGTTAACATGAAATCACTGCACTTCAACTGGTAAAAAGAAGACTCAATGTATTTATCGACAAATCTTTAGTAAAATACTTCATCAAAAAAATTTTTCTTGTCTTCAAACAACTTGTAATGTTTACTGAAAGTGTGCCAAATTTTGTGAAGATACACATAATGTATTAAAAGTTATAGTATTACAACTATATACAAGAAAATGGTCATAAGCCCATATTGAGGCAAACAAAAAAATCATGCAGAGGCATTTTAAAAAATAGTTTTGAGGAATTTTAACGAACAGTTTATGACCCCAAGTCGGTTCATAAGTGCATTCAACATTATAGCAGTTTTCAATTTCCTGCCAAACTAAAAATGTTGTCATGAATAAGAGAACATGACAGACGAAAGATTTTCCTGACACCTTTGGGAAACGAGGATTATAGCTCGCAGTACGACTATAAAGTCAGTTTGACTGTAGGTGTAGGATTTCCTCTCAAAGGGAAAATGATGTAATGAAATTTATATAAGTTGTTTTTAAATTTTAATAATAATTATTCTGTACAATTTTAGAAAAATCCAAAATATGAAAATATGTTGCAAATTGAGGGCAATTTGCATTAGAAAGGGCAAACCTCTAAAACCCCACCATTGTATCCACTACTGACAGACACATGGTCGTGTGCAAGACAGATTTTGTCATTTTTGTGTCATGTGCAATTCTATTCATTCAATAATATTCTATTTGAGTAACGTTTTTTGTATAATAAATTTAGGCCTATCACAAATGACTAGGGCTGCATGTGTTCTATGATTTTTTTATACCCTAAACCCATTGTTGATGCAGGAATGTGTATATTTTCTAATGCTTGTCCTTTTTTTCTTTCTTTTTTCAGCATAGTGGGCCTATTTTTTAAGTGAGCCTGGAGCTGCAGCTCCACCAGTCCCCACCTTAATCCAGCTCTGAGTAGATGACAAACAAACATTATATGAAACTTTTTAAACTAATGCTTCGTATGTCTTTGTGTGCTAAACATATCAATTGAAGAGAAGTTCCTACTAGTAACAGCTAAGGCTCAAAATTATATTTGCCTTTTTATTACAGGTCTGCCATGAGAGCTGTAAACTCTGTCTTGCTGAATAGTTTTCTTTCAAATTAATATGTACAACCCCCCCCCCCTCCCTTTCAAAGAAGCCTTCCTGCTTGGCACTTGGTATATAGTTTAGTATATTTAAAGAAACATAAACTGTACACTCCCCCCCCTGAAATTAGCTTTCCTGGTAGGCATGTAGTACATAATTTTGTGATGAACATTAACCCAATGACTACCGGTACTAACTTTCTTAGTAGGCAATGCAAGTGTGCATTTGTGAATTGAAAAAATGATAGAGAACTTATCTTTTAATGGATTTCTGATTTTATTTTTATAAATAGTAGCG